GACATTCCGCGTTCAGATATCATCAGTGACACAGCCTGTGACCCCGACGTTAATCAAGCATAGCTCTCAGAGCAGCGAACTTTCGACAACTGCGCGGAATATGGAAAAACTAGTCAATAATCATGAAGACGATGTTTACCATTTTGAAAGCAACGGCTTTCTCCGTTCTTTTGTACTTTCTCGAAACAGCTGCATTGTTGAACCGCCAAGTTATGTTGTGCTTGCCATAATTATCTTTGGCATCTTTACTAACCTGCAAGCTACCTAATATCTGTTATGTCCCCTCAGTTCCACGTGACGCATTTTAACATTAGGGGATATTAACTGCATCGATGAGGGTAAGATTTCTCGTCGATAAATGATCTGTCAAGGAGATCAACTGAACCGCCGCCTCAGACAACACTGCCTTAGCAATATCCTGGTAGTCGGATGGATTCATCAAGTCGAGAATGATTGCTTCCTCAAAATTACCATCGTTTAGAAACTTTCCAGTGACTTTAGACGGTGATATCTCTTATGGTTGGATGAAATGACCTAGAAGACACAAAGTTGGTGAAGACTTTCCTATCGTGGGAGCCGGCCAGGGATGAGAAAAGAGGTCATGAGTTTGAAAAATATAGCACCAATTACGAGCCGGAAGGCATCTAGTTGCTATGAAAATTGCAATACCTTTTATAATACTTTTTCATCGTGATATTTGAACTTTTTTCTGCTTTCAGCTCAATGATTTGGTGAAGGAAAACAAGAGTCTACAAGAAAAAGCCAGTATCTATAAAAACCGAGCGGACAAGGCGTGTCAAGAACTTCAGGACATGCGAGCAAACGTTCAGCAGCTGGACTCTGCAAACGCGACCCTGGCACAGGAAAAAGTGAAGTAAGGGAAGACATTGCCGCAGACATTCATTAGTCCGCCGTTCTGCTTGAGGAATGATGCTCAGTCGGCCAGTCGATCCATATTGATGTTAGTGGCAATAATAACAACCAGTAATACTCATAATAACAGTTGGGCACAGTAACATAGTTGCAAGAGGTCAACTTGGAACTCCGCAGTTGCGGGTTCGAGTCTTGCAACCGTAAAAGTTTGTCTTTGTCTTTGAGGTCGTCTTTGACGTCTTTGTCTTAATCGCTAATTCCCTTGAGGAGTGAATTCAACCATCGTTGCTCGATGCAACCAAGTGTAAAACGAGTAGCAGGTCGGTGATTTGCAAACAGCTGGCGCAGTACGATGTTCTGGTGTGATTATGCTAGAATGGGTGGCGAGGGTGAAGTACGGCCATGCCCACTATTGCGAACGCCTCATGTGGCTGCAGTTCTCCCTGCTAGCTGACAATGCAGTATGGCAGTATGCATATGGAATGGTGGTACAGGGCATAAAAAGTCGGCTTTGTATTACGAACGTACCGTGTTCGGCGATCAGCAGTGTTTGAGCTAACCACGAATTCCCTCGAGCAAGCAATTTACCACACCTTTCAGACGGGAGTTACTCAGTCGGTAGAGCATCTGACTCAGAAACAGAAAATTCCTTGTTTAAGCTCTGGTCGGGTTACTCGGTTTTCTTCCTTACGAGGTTGATAAATGAGAACCACTCATTGAGAAGTAAGCAGGAGACTACGCACCATACGTGCTACTTGGCTGGTATCAACTTTGTCTTGAAAAGGGACACTCTTGAAAATGGAATTGTAGATCAACACTCCACCGTTAAATTCATCAAAAGAAGGCCACCAGAATAGCCTCATAAAAGTTTAAGCAATGCCAGCATTCTAACGGTTACAAACCTCCTTTTTCTTTTTTTTTGTGATAGACGAGATACAGTAGAGCAACTATCGGACAAGAACCCTGCAATCGACTTTTCCAAATGTGATTCACTCCTTTTTTGAGGTAGGGTTGATAGATATTGTTGATGGCTAGCACTTTTTCCTGTTTTAATTGTCACGTAGGAACCAGTTAATTAATGTAGATATCGTTAGTTATGAATCCGACTGGCATCAAGTAGACGGAGGCTTATGTGTATAGTAAACTATTGCGAGAAGGCTTTGCAAAGTTCAGCTTGTCTGGTACAAGTGGCTTAGCAAACCGGGCTTTCAACAGCGCTACAAATATTTGCTGATGCAAATCTTTCTCATGACGCTGAGTAGAGTGGAAATGCCGTTAGCGAGGATAACGACCACGTCAAATACAGACCGCAGCAATGTTTCAGAAGCAATCAGCCTTCTACCAAAAATTCTACGCATCACGTAAGCAATTAAGCAGCTGCCATAAAATTCCTCATTTAGCTAATTAATTGCGTATTTAACTAATCTAAATAAATGAACTTCAGTTTTTATCTCATTTAATAGTAGTGACTGTTTTAGCTTCAACGATAAACTGGCGACTGTAATGAAGGACTTCATGAAAGCGCAAAATGAGAAAGATGCATTGAGACATGAGAAAGACGAACTGCTTACTCGCTGTTACACCATGGAACGGGAGTTACATTTGCTGAAGGACGATCTGCTGTTGAGCGAAACGAAATTGAAGCAACGAGAGCGTGAAATCAGCGAGTTGACAAGCGGCGCTACCGGCAACAGCGATCTCACACAAAAGGAATTATTCACTTGCAAGCGTCAGAAACAGGTCAGTAAAGAGCATCGATATACGTACACATTACACAGCACATATCTTCATCTTCCATCGCCGCTTCTCCTTTCGGGTCGCGGAGGCAGACGCGTCAGACAGTGCTTCCA